TTTTTTTTTTTTTTTTTTTTTTTAAATACCAATATATGTCCGGGATTTTGCTCTGCTCAGCATCAAAGTTTTCTTGGCACTTCCCAAGCAAGATGCAAGAGGGAGGGCAATTGGAGGCAGGGAGCATGACATGCGTCTGTGTGCACACACGCACATAGCCAGCATGCAGTCAGGCAGGGTGGTGAGAACAGACCTGACAGCTGGATGCAGGTAAGTTTATGGGGAGCAGGGGTTGGAGTGCCTGGGTTTGGGGACTGTCTGGGGGGTAGCCCTGTGCAGGCGCACACACACACATACGCACACACAGGGGGCAAGTGCCTGCTGGTGCTGGGGAAAGCTCTCCAGGCACTGGGGCTGCAACAGGGCGGGGGAGGCAGGGGAGGTGCCTGCCACTCTAGTGGGGGAACAGGCAGAGTGGCCCGTTGGGGGCAGCAGGGAGCTGTGTAGCTGGGGTGCCTGTGCTTGCAGGGGTAGGGCAGCCAGAAGACACTGCAGGGCTGCAGGGGTTGGGCATGAGGGGCACCAGCAGGGCTGGCAGGAGCTGTGGTTTGGAAGCAAGGGGCACCAGGGGGGCAGGGGACTGTGGGTCAGGAGCATGGGGCAGAGGCAGTGCCCAGGGGGCAGCAGGTCAAGAAGGATGGGGCGGGGTGCTGCAGGTTGGGAATGAGGGCACCAAAATATTCTGGTGGGTTGGGTGGCTGTGGCAAGGCACAGGCTGTCATCCCCCCGACAATGATATTACTGCCTAACAGGTGTCCTCTTTTCTGAAACTGGAAACATGGTAACCCTAGGGTACTACTCTGTTCTGTCCGTCGGAGCTTCAAGGAAGTTGCAGCTGCTTAGTGTTTTTACTCATGGCTAAAGTTTTGGGGGTTTTTTGTTTGTTTGTTTGTTTACAGAGACTTACCTACAGCCATTTTAGCTTGATTTTTAATGACCATTGGTAACCCTGCTCAGCTGTTTAAAAGAGGTCTGAGAGACTGCATAGACAAATTAGAAAGAAAGTTTGCAAGCATTCCGTCTTGTGACTTCCATTGATACTAGTGCAAGTGCTGTTACGAACACCATTGTTGTAGGAGGTTCTGCGATTTAAAATCATTGAGCAGAATAGTTTGGCAGCTGTTCAAGAAAACATTACTCGCAAAACTACCCATCACTGCAAGAGGCATGTCTACCCCAGGATCCCATAAATGCCAAACCACTCCTCAGAAATATTTTGTACAATATTTACATAAAGAAATGCTCTTCAAGAGTGGAATTCTGAAAGTGTCTAATGAAAAAAAATCAAGGTGATACTTGCCAACAAATGAAGTGAAACTGTGAGGCTTCAAAAGACTGTGCTGGCTACACTTGTTTCAAAAATCTATTTACCTTCATAGTTATCGCACTACACAACCTGTTTGTCAACACAGCAGAAATGTAATATTTTACTTCACTATATTGCCTAGATGCCTTGCTCATGAATGACAATACACAGAGACCCTCAAATAAGACTCAAATGTATAACTATAAATCTGAACAAGACACTTTATATTTCCAGTTGGATACCCTTATCCATAGCAGTGACAAGTACAGATTGCTAATTCTGCATAGTACATGATTCAGAGCACTGTCTTGGAACATCTAGTTATATTCTGAAATATTTCTGTATACTTAGATGTTCTTGAAGATCTTCAATGGTTATTAGGATACTAAAGAAATACAAGTTTCAAAGCATTTTCTCCCTTAAAAAGGAGACATAACAGCAAAAGAAATAAAAAATTTGTGCAAGGGATTGGCAGTCTTGGACCCGATTAACATACCAACACTTAACATAAGAGAAACAAAAAAATATAGGCAGGAACAACAGTATCTTTACAAAGTTAAAAACAGATCAGATTAGCACAGTGAAAAAAAGTCAACAAACATTCAACTCATGTGCAAGCAACCATGTGCTTTAAGCTAAAATGCCACTGGATGCGTCTACACGTGCACTGATTTGCTTTTACTAATGCATATTAAATTTAGTACCTCCAATATGAGATACTAAATTAGCGCACATTTGGCTGTGCTAATATACAGTAGCGCATTTGCACATTTTTTCAGTGACACTTAACGCGGAGTAGACTATTTTTACTGAGTATTAGCATAATGTCACAATTTTTTACGTCATGCTTTAATGCGCAGTAAAAGTCTACTACACATTAAAGCGTACATGTAGATGTACCTGCTGAGTAACTATTAGTTTGATTGGACTGAAGGAAGCCTGTCATAAGTGACTATCCAAGTATTTGGGCTATTCAAAACCACACATTATGACTTGATAGAGAAAAAGGGTCAGGATTGTTGATTGTAACTTAAATTCTTTCAACCATTATCCCTTCCTAAGAAGTTACATTTTTATGGGGGACTCAACTATGCTAGCTTAAAAGCAGACATTTATGAACAAAGATTATTCCCAGAACTGTGCTGGCAGGAGCTGATGGTGCATAAACAGATTTTTTGGCACAGCACTACTGAGTGAGGGTTGTTTATAAAACTAAGCTAAATTAAGCATCATTCATAAAAGGAAATGGGAGGTAATCAACATCTCTAAACAAAAAACAACAAAGCTGGCAATAGGCAATTAGTTAATTTCCAGCTTCTAAGAGAAAATTACAAGCCACAGAAGGTAAAATAAGATGACAGTCTACCAGCACGCATTCAGCCATTTACTGATTTAACAGGCAAGTTGGCCATGAGGCCTAATAAAGCCAAATTTTGTTTGGGTACCTGTAACATGCAAAAAGCACAAAGGAATGATTATGCAGTGCAGGGCTGTCAAAGATGCATTCCGTGGAGCTGTATCATCCAGCTCCCACGGCTTTCTGTGGGTCACAGTCTCACACAGGCAGAATACACAGGGTGCTAGATGGCTCCACGTGCTGCACGCAGCATCGCTTCTAGCTTGTGTCTCAGAGCAGTGGAGCAGCCGCCACATGCAGCACACCTCCAGAGCAGCCGCATGCCACTTGGCTGCGATGCAGCACAGCTCTGCGGCAGCTGCCACAGGCAGCCAAGTTCTGGAGCAGCCAAAGCAGAACCAGTCCTGCATGTGGTACCCACTATTCTGGAACACAGGATCACTCTGTGAATCCAGTCCAGCCTGTGGTCCAGCCCCATGCCACTGAGTTTGATGCCCCTGACGTAGTGAAATCTGGTAATGAAGGAGTTTTAACTTCCCAGTGAAGTTATAAAAACAGTTCAGTACAGGTCAGAAACTGTAAGAAAGCAAGGAACTTTGGTACTTACTGAGTATTTTGTAAAATAGTGTGAACAAAGGCTGGATTAGTTTCCATGGAAGCTGTAACAAGTGAAGTCAGCAGAGACCAGTACCAAATAGCAGAAGCATCACATACTGAGACACCAGCCTTTTTAATTCTTTGATAGCCGACAGCCCTGAGTCCATGGATTCTGGTATCGCACCCATCACTAAGGCAACGTTTGATGTTTATCTGTACATCTGCCAATAGCGGCAAATGAGAAAAAAGGGTAATTTCTTCCATTCAAGAACCATCAGATTTAGCCATAAGACAAACCATATGTATAAAAGAAGTAATTCCCAAAGACTGACATGCATAACAAGTGCATTTAACTAAGGAATATTGCCAAGTGTCTATATGATCAAATGCACCCATATTTTTGCTCACACATAGGAATAGCAATTTGGAAAATTCCTTTCAGAAGACTCTTGTGCCCCACTGCACAATCTGAACCATTAGTTCCTGTAATGCAAGAAGTGGGGTTACAAACTTGAAGGTTATGACAAAATAAACAAACCGTCCTCCAAAAAGTACAAATAAGAAATTTACTTTACTAGATTCTAGCTGCATCTTAAAGGAAATATTTCTGGTAAGTTCTCTGAAGACTTCCATCACATAAGAGTCAAATGCAAACCATTTTAAAAGTTAGACAAAACATATTAACAACCTCTTTGTTGAACGGGATGGACAACACTTACATAGAGTTAGTTTTGAGGTATAAGCTCTCTCCTCTAACTATTTCTTAAACTACAAAAGGTATTTTTCTTAACAAAAATCAAAATTTCCAAGTTTCAGAAATCACCACAAGATTTCTGTTCCCTCTGATGGCAGAGTCAACATGGCACCAACAGATTTATTGCGTTTAAAATGCATATAATTGGCTAATGTAAAATTATCTCACTACTGCGGAGATGGATGTGAAGTGCAATCCTTTGATTACAACATTCCTGAAAAATTATTTTTCTGACCACACTTGTGATTTGTTGCCCACTAGCAGCTGCTAGATTGTACCACATCCAAAAAAACAAACTAAAACTAAAACCCCCCACAATTTTAACCCAAGTTCTCTTGGAATCCTGAGCTAAGTCCATAACTTATTTTCTAATTCTACGAAGTTCAGCACATTCTCCTCTGATCGCCCAGCCTTTCACTTTGAGAAAAGCAAAAAAAGAAAAACACCAATTGTATCTTTATTGACTCACACATCTGACTAATGTTAGCGTTTTCCAACAATGTTACGTAGCCAGTGATATTGCTGGGAATGTGAACATCTCGGACCTCCTGGAGAGTGCTGGCATTCCTTCCAACTGCCACCGTAACTTGCTGTGGCATATAACTCTGGTCATTAGCTGCCACTGCAATGGACAGATGTCTCAGAACAACATCTGGTTTCATCTTTAAACTGAAAGACAACAACAACAACAAACCACAATACGCATCTTCCGAAGAGAAGAAAAATCAAGAGTCCAATTTTCAGTCAAGCCTCAGTCTCCATTTCTGCAAGCGCAGATACATGCACTGGTATTTGTCTAATTACGTGCATAAGCTTCACCAACAACACATCCCAAAGCCTGAGTTAAAGGTACAAAATACTAATATTTGCACCTACAAATACAGAAGCTACCATGGACAATTAGGACCTAAAATCACAACGCTATTCGGAATAAATGTTGTACGTTTGCCAAATTAGCACCCAATTCAACATTAAAAGTCTCATCCATCTGGTGAGAAGCAATGATGGTCTTTCAAAAATGTAAAAATGAATGTCTCTAAGCAATAATCAGCACAAGCATATCAGCATTTGCAATACGTCTCAAAAACACAGGGCATTTATACACATGTTCTGGGGGGGAGGGGCTTTAAATAGAGAGGCTCTTGGGGAGGGAAGACTTTAATTAAAAGCAGCTCCAAGAAACACTCTAATTAAAGTGCCCAGAGAGTCATGTGTATCAGCATCCCCACACCGAAAAATGGCAGCGGGGATACTTTAACTAAAGCTCTTTGAATAAGCATGAGTTAGAGCACCACCCCAACATTTTTCAGCACAGGGACAGTGATACACGTGACACTGGAGTCTTCTGGAGCGCAGTAATTACCACTTGATTAATCAAGTCTGCTCCAACACACTGCAATTACAGAGCGTCCGAGCAGCCTCAGTGTACGTGTACAAGTGCCCATTAAGCCCAAGTGGGGAGGCACGAGATATACTACAGCTAACCTTGGGTCCTTTTATGCTGACAGTTTTGTCTTTTTAGTCAATCACACCCAAAAAGGAAGTTAAAAGGACTTAACCTCTTTCAAAGTTATTTGTTTGTCATGCAACTACCATGGACTCTTCCACTGACAGTCTAGTGGTGTTTGAATATTCCTCTCCTACTTTGAGTTTCCTGGGCTACCAATCCTGAAACCCAGTTACTACAGTGGTGCTTGCTAACTCACCGTATCCAATGAGAGCGAGCACTCCCATCTGACTGCCAAAACGATGTAGTTTCTCCATTTGTCATTTTGTCAACATCAGCTGAGTTGGAGGAGGTTTCTATGTTGGTATAGCACTTTGTGACTGACTTGAGTCTGTCTGATTCTTGATTACCATTCAGATCGCTAGGAAATCCTGTGAAAAGAAAAAAAGAAGTCATAAAGAAGTAAAACACTCCTTTTAAAAAAAAAAAAAAATAAAGGCACAGCTCTACCAAGACAAGCAGTCCATAGCGGTTAGTTCTGAGAGAATAATTCATAGCTTGTGCAGAAACGTTTCTGGAAGTCTTCCTTACTTAAGCAGAACATAGCAAAGTACCGTTCCAATTTCTCAACATAGTAGAATGACATTTTGGAGTAATCTCACTGTAAAGATTCCTATTTTTGCCTGGAGTTCAGTATACATTAGTCTTTTGTCATTTCTATTTAAACGGGTTCAATGGTAGCGTTTCGCTAAGACATTAAGCTACAAATTGAAAAAAAAAATAGCAGACTCAGAAAAACCTAGCTGGCTATATTAAAGAGGAGGTAAAGTGGATCATTTCCCCACATAAATTCTAGTTTCTCTCCTCTTGGGGAAAAGTGTACAAAAATGGAGTAGAAAAATTTAGTGTCAAATTAAAATGTTATCTTTAGGTATCAAGGGCAATTAACCTCGTGTAAATCCTACTCCAGTGTTCCATATGGATAACTGCAGACAACAGTCAAGCTACTTTTCTACACAACAGTTTGGAAGTAGTCATTTGCAAACAGAAGTCATGTTTATAGTGAACTGGAGAGAGTATTAGAAAAACTGTTTATCGTTGATAAAGTTAGGAGACAGGAGAGAAACTGAATATCACCAGACTGTAGGCTGTGTCAAGGGATGACTTTTCTAGACTTGCTCCAAAGAAAAAGAAGAGAAGCAAGTAGATCAGCTTCAGAAAAAAGCCAATTCTATCAGAAGATTAGAAATAGAGAACACAGACACTTTAAATTTCTGCTTTAAGCAATGGATTAACTCTGCACTTTTAGTTCACCTACCCTTTTCTTTTAGTAGAAGCCGATCCAAAGACTCCTTCAGTACAGAAGACCGCATAGTACAAATATTATTGAAGTAGTCCAACACTGGATATGGGATGGCAGTATTGGAAATACGGTTCCGGTGCAAGAATCTCAGGATCATTGAAGCATGGTGGCCAAGGCGTTCTTTTGATTCAGAAAATATGTCAATAAAACCTAGAAACAGAAAAGATATTTCTGTGTTTGCTGCACTACCTGCCTCTCCCTCCACTCACCAAGCACTGTTTTTCTCCTCTACAGAAGCTGAATTCAAATAAAATTAATTGGATTTTTGGCTAAGATTCAAAGTGAAATGATGCAAGCTAAGAACATTTAGAATTGGGCTGGTGAAGGACACAAAGCTAATGTTTTTTCAGTCACTTGAAAAGTCTGGATGGGTTTAACACAAGTGTTGCGATACTAATTAATCTAGTTAATGCTGTGTAATCTGAGATTTCAAAACAAGAGATTCACTGGACAACAATACAATTTTTTTTAAGTGCTCCATCCAATCCCTTATTTTAATATTCTCCTTCTATGAAGTTATCAACCAAGGAATCAATCACCATTTTTCTCAAAAGCTGTTTTGTCCAACTCGCCTAAGCAGATGTAGCTCAAATACTTCCTGTGAAGTATTAGTCATGTTTGGAGGGTATGTCAGTGATTGATCCTTGTTCCAGCAGGCTGACATGGAAAGTGACAGATGCTTCAAGCTTCTAAATTTGAGGGTACATACCATTATTTATGACATACGTTATAAATTAACATGTATATAATGAATTATTATATAAATTAGTTTTTTTTAACCATATCCAGTAAATTTCTACTCAACCACATTAACTTCCAAAACTCATCGGGTGTTGCGTATTAGTTTGCGAATAATTTGTTTCTAAAGCTTAAATTCTCTCTCTTGATATGACAGTTTGAGCTCGCTGCAACATTTTCTACCTATTAATTGTATGTGTACTAAAATCTAACTTCTAACAGCAGTAAAAGCTTAAAAAAAAGAGGCTTGAGCTATGCCTTTTAATTGATCTGAGAGAAATATAATATACGTGTACCAATTTGTTCTTAAAACAAAAATGGTAGTGCGTGTGACAGCTAAGCGGTCCTTTTCATTACCTCTTATATGAAGAATTAAGAATGGAGGACATGACTATGCACTTGGTCAGATGGAGTGATGTATGCAGGAAGAATTTCCAGTGACCAAATATGACAGTAACATGCTAGCGAGCTGCATTTAGACTGGAAGTCCCTGTGCAGTTTCAAAGTTCAGCAAGGAACTGACTTTTTTTGGCTTGGATACAAGTCAAATAAGTATAAAACATTTCATAATTCATGTTAAGGAAGAGATGGTTAGTGCAAATTAAGTTTTTAGGAATATTGGAGAAACCATGCATGTACAGTAACTTCAGTTATTGCTCTCAACCATTTGTGGAAATGAGAACTGCTGAAAGTAAAAGCAACTGAGGAAGGAGGAGGATTAGGGCATGCAACGCTAACATGCATTGATTACTGTAAAAGCCTTCCTGGTGTAGAGAGGATCAGGAGGACAGACGCTTCCTCACTCTCTTCTTTTACCTGGAACTAGTGAACAAGCCTGCAGTTGCCTAATTACATGACTAAGTTCCCCTTGAAGATTGGCTCCACTGGAATTTTTGAGGGCCTCCAGCATGTTCTCCACATCCACTGTGCCATCCCCCTCAGCATCAAACTGCGCAAAGGCCTGAAAAAAAGAATGAGGCAGGTTGAAGACTTATTCTAATTAGGCAAAAACAGCAACAAGAGAGGCTTCCAATGAGCAAACATTACACAAGGAATAAAGAAAATCAAAACAGAAGCCACATTTCCTACAACACTGAATTTATAGCAACAGGTAAAATTACCCAGCTGACAACTACAAATCTCAGTTCATTGCCCGGTATTTGCATGACTCCATGTAATATAAAAACAGTTAGAGTAGGACAATAAGACATTTGTAGAGCGGGTCAGTAGGACCTGCTTAAACATGCTAGCTAACAAGTGGGGTTCACAGGAGAACACAGCCAACCTGTTACCACCAAGGGATCCAACCGGTCCCTGCTGGCAAAAAAAATATCGAAGCTGCTGTTGCAGCACCCCACCTACAGCGGATGCACTCAGGATGCTTACAATTTGAGATACACCCTATACTTAAAATGGAAATTACGGTGCAGAAGCAATTTTCTAAAAATTTCCATTGCAGACTGCCCATCCAAACTAGACACTGCCTCCAAATTAAGCTTGCAAAAGCATCCACAAATGTCCAAGTTAGGTGTTTATAAAATTTCATTTCTTATTCAAAGGAACTACTGCCAGTTTTTCACTAATTTTGTGGATATTTATGAACATATGTGAATGTTTATGGTATAATTACTATTCATTATATATTTAAAAATGACACTTTAAATCAGTTCAAGCAGCTAGGAGTAGCAAATACATGGCCTGTGGAGTTGGGTCATCAAGCCCCTGTTTCTTTTTCAAGGCCAGAATGTACGAGTTGCTCACTTGTGAGGTGCACATCTCCTCAGCCTCACACTGATGCAGGAGGAGGTGTTGGTGTGGTGCCTACTGCAGCTGCCACCAAGTTGACTGCTCCCCACTGCTAGGGGCTACGGGAATCAGTGGCATTCAGAGAGAGGGGTGAGCAAGAGCAGCAGTAGGGGCCACACTGATACTTCTTCCTCCCATTTTAGAGACATTGGGAAAGAAAAAAATGTTGTTATTTTTTAAAGATAACCCAACTATAGTTGCATGAAATTGTTGACCTCGGGAACTCTGATTCTTAACTAACTGCCCAGAAAAACCCAACATATCCTAATATGAGATTCAATATGCAAAATGTCAGATGCAGCATGCAAAATAAGAGAAACTGAGAGTCTTATAATAGAGAAATAACTTTAACCTCAACTACAAAGAACGTAGCAATACATGTTAAAAAGCTAAGCGTACAATCAAAAATGTTTGGCCCTTTGAGCTACAAAGGCCTTCTTTACGTTTCTTTCATTTTTGGGGGTGTACCAACATAATAAGTACAGGAAATAACAGTGACTGGGAGAGTAATTGTACATCAGTCTCTTATTTAATTACTTGAACGTCAAACTCAATATAACATTAAAAATAATACCATAAAAAGTCACTTGCAATAACTGGCTCAAAACAACTAGCCAATTAATCATGGCAAGATTACACCAATTGAAGGGGAGCAAAGTCTCCAGCAGATAAGGCCCTTGATAAAGTTTGCAATACGCAGTCTTAAAGCCTTGGCAATACCTTCTAAAGCACATACCCATTTTCACCTGAATAGCATTACAAATACATTTCTCCCCAAAAGCTATGCTATACTAGACTATGCTAGCACCAATACTTAAACATCACGGTGGCTACCAGAATTCACTGGTAGCAAGGTTAGTGCATTAACTACACAGCATAGCAAGAAACCTAGAACTTTGAGTGTAACAATATATGGGACATTAACTTAGTCAAACATTACTTAGGTTGCCACAACAAAAGGTCTAAAGTATAGTTCAGTATCAACCCGCTACTGTCCTTATGGGACATTTCCTCTCGACACATGAAATCACGTACACAGAACGTGCCCCCTCCCCCCACAACTTTATTAAAATTTAAGTCACCTGGTTTCCTGGGGCTAATAGTGACAATACCCTAAACATAAGCAAGCATGCAACTATCCTGAAGGCATTTAACAGTACTTTCATTCATGGCCCAGAAAGCCCATATAAGAAACAACATTAGTCCACAACAGTTTGCAAGGGCTATGTGAAGCTTCGGTCCCCGATTCGATTCAGTGGAGATTCGGCGGCCAAACCTCCAAATCGAATCAGAGGACCCTTTAATCTCTCCAAACTGAATCGGAACCCTCTGAATCAATTTGGAGAAATTCAGAAAGATTCAGACATAGAAAATGTTTTTTCTACATACCTCGAGGAAGCAGGGGCTCGTGAGTGCTGCGATGCTGGGATGCATGGAGTGTCCCACAGAAGCACAGGGGGTTCCCCAGCGTGCTCGGCAGCAGACCCAGAAGCGGACCAGAAGCACTTCCAGTCCACTTCCAGGTCCACTGGGAAGCACACTGGGGGCCCACCCCCCCCATGCCCCTCCCTTGGCTTGGTGACTGGTACCTCATGGGTCGGGGGCAGGGCACCTAGGGTCCCCCTACAGCCGATCGCTGAGCCGGGGTGGGCGTGGGGGAGCTCCCCTGCGCACTCTCCGGCAGACCAGGAAGTGGATTGGAAGTATTTCCAGTCCACTTCCGGGTTCGCTGCCAAGCACATGGAGGGCCCCCCCGCACTCCGGCGGGATGCTCCATATGCTTCAGCATCACAGCAATCACCAGCCGCGCCTGCTATCTCAAGGTATGTCGAAAAAACTTTTAAAGCTGTGTCTATGTCCGAATCAGCACTGAATCTTCAGATTCTGATTTGGCCGAATCGAAGCAGTGACAGCGATCTGAATCAACGAGCCGAATCTCTGTCCCTGATTCAGGCTGAATCCGAATCGAACAGGACCTGCTTAGCACACCCCTACTGTTTACTTCTAGAGATCTTCTGTCGGGGACTATAATCACGGTTGAGATTTTGAGGGAATACGTCATGGTCCCCACCATGACTTAAAGCTCCTGCTAACCTTTTCTATTGGACTCTTTAATAGAAGCATTCATACTTAATGCTTTTCTCCAATATTAAATACCAAGCAGCAGCAGGAAACTTTATTTTGGAAAGCACTTTCTAGAGAGCTTAAACCATCTTTGCTCAAAAAAGAAGGCCTGTGAATGAATGAGATATCCTGTGCTCTCTTGTACACAACAGGAACAGGCAAAACTGGCCTCCATTCTCTTGCAAGTTCTGCACTCCATTCCTAGTTCCTGGCAGACCCTTGAGCATTGTACATTTTTTAAGAGAGCGTGAACTGGATATATAAGGCAATGCCTGCTCACGCACGTGTGGTTGAGCTTGGTTGGAAAGACTCAAATCAAAAGCTGCTTTCCAGGTGCAACTTATCTTTGTACTTGGAAGCAGAGATAAACAATAATTCAGTTTACCTACAGAGCAAACAAAGCATCTATCCATCAGCCCCATACGAGGAGTAAAAGACCTGATAGACAGCAGATCAGACTTTGTTCTGTCCTGGTCATGACCGCTGAACAATGGGAAGTGAAGTCAGCTGCCACACCCTTAGTGAACTAATTCCTGGACAATGTACGTTACATCCCGAAAATCTAAGTTTCTGCACCCTGTGGGACCATCCACACTACTAATGCAGCTGCTTGAAAACTCTTTGTAATACCTCACTCAACACAACTAAAACACAGTGCATTTGTAGCAAAGGTGAGACCTAACTGTGTACTCGTACCATAATAAAACTTCTGACAGGTCTTTGAAAGAAGGCGCAGTGAGGGGGAAAAGCCGCAAACAAAATCTTGTTGAGTGAGCAACTGTATTAGGACCCTTGTCCTCCAACACTGTAGTGACACTGACACTGTATCAATTCATGGAGCTCAGTGTTTTGGGTCCACAAAAGTCCGTAATTAGTATTTCATTTTTTAATGCCATGATAAATGAACAATATTTTTTGCTAGTTTGATAAGGAATAGGAAATTCACAAACTGGACTTCAGCAAGTTAAGCAAAAATGTATGTCCTAGGGGCCAACATAAATTATATTAATAATGATTATGATGATAATAACAACAATAATAATTTTGTGTTAACGCCCAGTACTTCTGTCACTAGTCAGTTCAAAGAGTCCATATGCAAATTACCATCAAGCCAACACTTTAAAAATGTACCTACTCAGGCATATTTATGTTCCCATAACATTTTTAAAAAGGGGAGGGCAGTGTCACCTCCAAGGCTTGGGGATAAATCCTAATAAAACCGTTAAAGCCCAATCATTTCCCTACCTGAGAAATTACGGGGTTCTGAAAACCTAACCATGGTACTTAGAAACCTCTGAACTTTGCCCAGGAATTTAATTTTTCTCCTTTGTGTCCGGTTAGTAGGCATCTCCGATAAGAAGTGCCCATGTATTTCCTTGCCACACCTCTTCTTGCCTGAAGGGAATTCTGTTAATCTACTTTTTTTCCAGAACCCTCCCTGCAACAGCAGTGTGAAACCAACTGGACTCCTGATAAGTCTCACTGCTGATTCTGAATAGCCGCTAAGAAACAAACTTCGATCCAGTAAATTTAACCCTGTTGCAACTTTAAGGAGTCATCGGCAGGGTGCATGCCTCCAAGAACCTCCCATTTTGCTGCCACCAGTCCAGTGTTGCAGTGACAAAAACCTCACGGGATACTCAGTGCGTACAGAGTGCCCGGAAGCCACACAGATTATTTAAATTCCATCTCTTCAACCTGCTCAAAACAGGTACAAGTGAGAAGAGTAGCAAGTCTGCTGGCAGCTTGTTTATACCAGGAACACGATTAACACGAGCACAGTACCGCTGGGGGTGGGCAGGACAGTTGTGCAAAACCTGAAGGAGCAGCCGACGAGTAAGAGGGGCCTTTCACCAGGGGAAGCAGCGGGCAAGGAAACAGTACATTCACGTGCTGACCGCGTGAAGTCAGAAAAATCGAGAGGCCTTCAGCTGTCTGCTTCTTCAGATACGATCGTCATATCTCTGCCTCTTCGAAGCTGGGCAAATCCTTCCAGCTGCGGAGCTCTCCTCCAGCAAACCCCTGCAGGAAGCCGGGTGATCCCAAAGGAGGGGTGTGAGCTGGCCCTGCCTGCCTGAGGGGGTGACGAGACTCACAAGCCCAACCGCCGTTTCCCAAAGTGCTTCCGAGATCCCTGCTCGATCCTACAAAGCGC